ATGCAAATCTCTTGAAGATGCTTGAGTTTTTCCTTCATTCTTGTAGCATACTAGGCGGCTTACCAAAGTGCTGAAAAGTTAGCGAATAATTATAAAAAATATATAATGAGGCTGAGCGGACATCTCATAACGAGTTTCGTTAAGCAAAATTTTCATGTAGTTCAACTTTCATAAGGTTTTATAAAAAAAAATATGTAGCTTAAGAAGGTCAAGGATCTCTAAATATTACAAAAAAATTGCTGCATTTTTCTTTTACTAAAGGGCAAAGCTATAGATTTGAGCAATAGTCTAGTTCATGATTGATGTTTATTCTTTTCTGCGCTTTAGTTTTGCAGTCCAATCTAAATATAAATCATTTGTATAAAAGTCGTAGCCGCTTTGCTAGCTTTTCTATACGTTTACCTTAAGGACTTTTTCAAAGACGAAGATATTTATCGAACAGAACTTGTTTAAAGAACCAAAATTCATAATTTTAAGCTGTTCGAGTTAGTGACTATTCTATACCGTGTTTTTATATCTAGCATCTCTTAAATGGTTCTATATTTCTAGAGGTACACTACTATACAATCACTTTGAAACTAGAAATCACTTTACTGGTGAAAAATTCTATCTATGCTATAGGAGTAACGAAGAACGTTGGATGTGCGTGTTACACTACGCTAATTGCTGGTTTGTATAAAATTCTTTTCTGTGATAGTATTGGTTGAGCTGATTAACAAAAAATTACAAATTCAATCTCGCATTTGTTCAGTCGATATTATTTCAAAATAACAAAACATATATTGAGTAAGTCAAAGTTTGGAATTCTCTGTAGAATTCTTTCATGCGTTTACACCAATTTCATTCTAAAAAATCTCTTCATAATAAAAGTCCTGCATTTGTAATGCTATATAACCTAGTGTTTCTAATGTTATTTTTTACGTTTGTGCTCTAGTTAACAAAATCAGCAGTTATGAAATACAGCCCATTTATGAGAAAAATTGACTACAAATGTCCGCCTTTTCAGGGAATGAAGTAGAATAGTGGACAAGATGAAATGTAACAGAGAAATGCGTAAATGGTTGTGAAAAAGTCATGCATATTAAAACTTCCACTCTGCCAAACTACTAATAA